ATCTTCTCATCGGGCATGGACTTATGCACCTTCAGATGCCTTAGATGGTCTCAAACCTGAGAGTGTTCATTCTCCCAGTCCCTGCCTTTGCCTTCTGCGGCTTGGGCAGTGAGGCTCGAGCACTTGCCAGTGAAGACCGAGGCAAAAAAGTTTTGCCTAACAAAAGAATGTGGGGGTTGGGAATAGTTGATCAGGTCATATATAACTGCAGAATTCAACCAAGCACAGTAAGATTTCATGCAATATACCTCATTAAAAGAGTACATTAAATACTGGTATGGTATGAAAGTACATGTATCATGTTTGTGATTAGAATTACAAAGTTCCTACTAGCAACTTGACACAGGTGGGATCAAAAGCATAGTGTATTAGAAAAGCCACGTTTTTCTATTTCTCTTCAAATAAAGTCCGGTTACAAAATGATGCTGCCACAAAACAAAGCAATGAAGACATGAAATGCCAGCATTATAATTATATGTCAAAATATATGCCTGACAAACCATTTAATTATGGATTCCATAAAAAAAAAAGTGCCTATCTTAAGTAAATTGGACAATGCAAAGGATATAAACCAGTTGTGAAGAATATTTTTTTCATTTTCTTGCTCAGCTTTTTCAGTTGTCATCTGCTGTACGACAACTCATTCAACTTGCACATTGGATTAGGCAAGGATTTTCATAGTATTTGCATGCTAGATTTTTACTTCTCTCTTGCTTGTCCAGTGTTGTACAATCATTAGAAAAGTGTTTTGACTCAAAGGCAGTACACTTGATAACAGAAAGATCCATGAGTTTGTTCAAATAAACAACTTGTCAATGAAATGCAGGAAGAGCATCTGGACATAATCTGAGTGCCAGCTGTGGCTACTTCAAATTAAAGTTCACTAACTGGTCCATGAAGAGCAGCATTCTTCCTCCGATTCTCAGCTCCCACTGCTTCTAGAAACCGTGGTGTGAAAATTACTTAAGCTAGCAGTTTCCTTGGTATATAGCAAGCAATAATCACACTCTTAGCCTGATGTTTCTCTTACAAGAAAACACCCAAACAGTTGGGCATTAAACACTTTTTGACAGAGGATGACAATATATCAAGGTATTACCATAGCTATTCATTCTGCCTTCCCTAAACCAGTTATCTCTTCACGGTTTCGCTAGCTGCTATGATTGTGAGCCTTCAACTAAACCTTTCCAAGAAAGTTTAAACACACATTGACTGTATGCAAAGGGCTAACTATATGCCCATATTTCCTAGATACAAACTATACATCCTTAGACTGAATATAGTATATGATGTGTATCTTTTAGGTAATGTATCTCAGTAGGAAACTCCATTTTTTACTTTGTCTCCCCTTAAAGTCTGTGTAAAAGCAGTTGATACAGACATCAGACTCCTCGCTGCGAAAGAAAGAATTAAGTCACACCACAACTCTGTTTAATGAGTTGAGTCTGCAGTGTTCTTTCCTCAGGATATTAATCTTTCTAAAAGCATTCTTGCTCTTCTTCACTCTTACCATCTAATAGCAGTAATTACTTCTTGTTCTGTGTTATCAGATGTCACAGGTATTAAATGACTTTTTTTTTGTCAGTGGATTGGAGTATCTAAAAGAGATTTTCTTGAAGGAGCAATCACTGACAAAAGGAAGCACATGAGCTCTGGCTTATATAGCTACGTTTGCAGACAGATGAAGCAGATGTGCCCACAAACATAAATAGTCATTAAGAAGGTCAGAAAACTGCATCTGAAGAGCCAACTGCACATCCATTCTATATTAGCACTCCTGCCTAAACATAGTGGCTTAGAAGGTACGTTCACATGTCAACCTTGTTTCACAACACTATGTAAATAATACATGTAATAACTGGAGGTAACTGAATTATCAGTCTTTAGTAGATTGGCTTGCATTGTCGTTATAAAGAGAACTACAATGCCATCTTTATATATGAGATATCATGACTGGAAGACAAAATGGGCTCCTAAGGACAATCCAGAAAGCGTAGCAGAAAATAAACATTAGGATTTTTTATTATATATACACATTCACAGTATATCTTCATCAATTGAAATTTAATCACCTTTTTACAATTTAGAGGAAAAGGCAGTTTTTAGGGTAGTTAAGCCATGTATCATCAATACCATGAAGCTAACCTATCAGTTATAATAGCTCCTATAAAATACCAGAGTGAAATTGCAATAAGCCTAGAAAATGGGCTACAAATCCCAGATATGCTCAAGCAAGCACTGAACCAAAAATAAAAATAGGTAGATAGGAAACCAAGAACTAGATAGCATTCATCTAATTCACAACCACTAACAGCAGAGATCACAGGCCAAGGTTTTAAAGCATCTTATTCAGCTCCAAATGGCAATTATTGGACAGGGACTTCAATTATAAAAACCTTCCCTCTTCAAAACGAGTTAAATTTCTAACAGTTCCTTTCTATTCTCTCCACATATAATAGCTCTTACATTTCTCAGAAGCACCTTATTTTATTTAGGCAAATTAAAATTTGGAAACATTTAATGTTCTCAAATAAAGAACATCGATGTTGCAGTATTTATCGTGCTGGGATATGTTTATCACACACTGATAAAGAGTCTCCCACATTCTCCTCCTCTTCCAAACACTATTCTGGTAAGAAAAGAACAGACTGCACTACAATGAATACATTTTAACATTTTAATTTAAACAGTCAAGTCACTTCTTATGCTCTCCTCCAAAGAATAAATTCTTAAAAATTCATTAGAATCTTATTTTATAAAAAAGCTATGGGAAAATCCAATTATTAGATTGTATAAAAACGAAAGAAGAGTTGGATTTTTTTTCCCTCACTTACAAACATTACTCCTAGAGCTGAAGGCACTAAAAAACCCTCAAACATCTCTCATTTGTAGTCACAGCCTTAGAACAGACTCAGTCCAAAGGAATGCATGATGTCTATGACAGGTGCATCGCTAAGTTGCTTTGAATTTTTTGTTTATACCCTTTCCGTTGACCACATAGAAGTCAACCAAACAAAAGAGAATAAGGACAGATTTTTCAAAGCAGACTTTTTTTTGGGGGGGAGAAATCAAAATCAGAATTGTACCACAACCCATCCTAGAATGCTTTCAGTATCAGAAAAACTTCAAATAACTTTGATTTGATTTTCATTGTAAGAGGAGAGAAACATGTTTTCATGTACAAGATATATACTGAAAATGTTAAATAATGCCCCCCCCCACCTTTTCCTTCACTCAGTTCGAAATAGGTACTGAGAAACAGTCTCAGACTGTTTCTGCCATTCAAGTACACACAAATATTCCATTACAATAGAATTGCAGTGGGAAGAGTCTAACTATTAAAAAAAGCGAACAAACAGTATCAGGCAACAGTGGCACTGTAGTCTTAACCATTCCATTACCTATCTGCAACATTAGGAAACAAGCATGAGAGGAATATGCTTTTTAAAAAAAAACCTCTAAGAACAGTGCATGTTAGCTTACAATAATAAAAGCACCTACCAATGCATTCTGGTTTCCTGAAGCCTTTTTTATGTTTCTTGCTGGCATTCCATGAAGATGACTAAATCTACCCTGGAAACCTACAAAAAGGAAGTACAAATTGATTTAAGAATATTTCCTATACCATATAACCAATAAAATTCACCATTACATACCAATCTATTAATCTGACTTCAGTTAAACAAAAACATCTTCAATATTGTTGAACACTGTACTGGTGGAAATAAAGAGCACAGAATGGGAATAGTGAGAGAAAGGCTAAGTTGTCATGAAAATGAACATTACTGTAGATATTCTTACTGCCATCCTGGTTCTATGCACAGTGGCTGCACAAGCAGAGCATACTGAACTACAGTAGGAAAATGATTTTTGCATCACTTACAACTTCATTAGTACTAGAAAATGTTAAGTCTAGTGAATATGCAGAGACCAAGTCCTCAGAAACAATTTCAAGCATCTGGAAAATAAGCCTCACAAAAGAATTCAATGCATTCGGTGTGCAGAGTAGTTTAAAAGTGATTTGACCACTGCTTACATAAAAGATCTGTATTTGAATGTGAAAGGAGATACTTGTGGCAGGCGGAAGGCACAACAAAATTCTTTGGCAGCAAGCTGAGGTCTGACAACTTCAATCTTAAGAGTGGGTTCCTAGCTGTAAGTACAATCAAACACTAGTACAACTTACCATTGCATACACTGGATCCACAGTTGTCTAAAGCATTTTAAAGAAGAAAAAAAAAAAGGGGTATTTTCTAAGTTACAATCCCAATTCTTGCTCTAAAGGAACCCTTCCCTCTTCTCTACAAACAATATGGCCTGACCATAAAGCAAAGCAAAGCAGATGTTCACACTAGTCTTTCCAGCCTTTGAATTAATGAACTTCTATAGAATTCTAAACATTATCATAGAAGCTAGGAACAAAATGGAATATAAAGTCTTTAAATAACACTTAATAATTCTCAATGCAAACATCAAGACAACAAATAAAAGAGTAGGCTATCCAAATGAGCCAAGTTTTACACTTTCTGACTTTTCTAATCATTGACTTTTTAATTATTTCTCTCCAATGATATCTTAAAAATGAAATAGTTCAAGGAAACAAACTGGTAACCCCATGATCTTGTCAACATTTTACATATTTTGTATAATCCACAGACATCTTTCTACTGTACCCAAGTGATTCTACAGTTTGCATTTGCTTGATCGCTACTTACCTCTCCTCCCTGAACGGGACATAAGAGGGAAAGTACCGGTTAAGATACTTTCAAAGACTGGATCAGGCAATTCTCTCTCCAGTTCTGTAGAGTCTTCTTGTTCCCACCATGGAATGACCCCCGTAATTCCACATGCTCCACCAGATTCATTTTCATGAAACCAATCACTCTGCTCATCATCACCTGTGTGAGGGCAGTATCCCCCCAAGCCCCCCAAAAAAGAGGGAGGAGCAGAGAAGATAAAAATCAGATGTTACCATCAATAAACACTCTTGACAGGACAATTATTTCTTTTGCTTTATTGCTGTATAACAATTACTCATATATAGCAGTTCTATTCGGAAAATGTTTCTCAATAGCATGACAAGCATTACCATCGATTAAACCACATAAAATGTAGTGTTTTAAAACCAATTTCAATAGTGAAAAACAATAATAAACTAGTTAATCCTTTGGCAATAACTGCAGGGAAATCCATTTAAGTTACTGCACTTTACATATTAACAAAAAACAAGCCTTAATCTCCTGCAGGGAATTAAAAGGTATAAAACTGAAACTAGTTCTTTGCAGCTGATAATGGTATATAATTAGCTTAATTTCATGATTTGTATGGCTAGTAGAAGGGGAAAACAATCATGAACAGATGTGACTAAATGAAGTTAATCTGATTAAGTTAATTTAGAAATAAGTTTTGAAAAAGTTGATTTTAAATGAAAACTGACAGTATCATGTGATTGAGAATTATACTGCATTATACCACAAAGCTGGTCATTTTTACTGACAATATTTATAGATGTAGTATTTAAATATCTGGATTTAAAGTCAAAAGTAAGATAAAACTGAAAATCTGATCTTAAACTTAGCTCATAAACACACTGG